TTTCAACTTTTCACGAGAAAAGAAAAGGTCTTATAAAATTGGAATTGATTGATTGAACGTTTTAGTCGCACCCAGTCTGCCGTTACCACCGCAGCCATGCCCACCCAGTGGGCCACGACCACCCAATGGGCCATACCAGCCAATGGGCCACACCCACCCGGCACTTGACGATGCATAAGTGAGTTTTGGGTTGCAGTTTGGGCACTCGGTCTCTAAAAGGTTCGCCATCACTGCTTAAAGATATAACTGAAATGCATGCATACCTCACAATCAACAAAATTTTCAGTTTCACTTTTGTCATTGTTTCACTAAAGGCTCTTAACTAGTGACTCCCTATCAGTATACCATATGGTATGGTAATTTTCTGGTGATTTCCAAAACTGGTGATTTCCCAGTAGGTTTACTGCAACTTCAGGAGCAATTCTGTTTCAGCAACAATTATATTTCATGCTTAATTAATAAGCCCAAACACAAGCTTATTTTTCTTCCTGCCATTAATATGTTTGCTTCAGTGTATCTCCTCCCAGATTCCTCTGACCACTATCTATTCCTAAGCAGAAAACATTGTTAACAAAGGCTACAATTTGTAGGAATATATTTATGGTCAACAACCTCATCCAAAGTTATGTAGACCCATATCTGTCAACTGTCTTGAATTGGCCCAGGTAGTCATGGTTTGTAGGGATTAGGGATCATTTCACCCCAAAAAATCCATCCTAGGAAGTTATAGGATTTTAGTCCTAGGTCAGTGATGGCAAACCTTTTAGAGACCGAGTGCCCAAAAACTGGCCCCGCCCCCGCTCCACTCCTTGCCCCGCTCTGCCCACCCATCCCCGGCACCGCATGCCCGCAGGGCCACTCACCACCTCCAGGGCCTGCCGCAGATCACCCAGGCAGCCCAGCAGCGCTATGGTGGTCACGCCCTCTGCCTGCGCCCTGCAGCATCAACTGTGCACAATGGAGTGTGAGGGCAGAGTCTTGTCTACGCTGCCTGGCTGCCATGTCCTTGGCTGCGCTGCTCCGCATAGGCCACGCTCAAGGGCGACTCTCCTTCAGGGGGCTGCTGGAGAGGAGGGAGTCGTGGGGGGGAGGCGAGGCTGGGGCAACAGCACGTGTGCCCACAGAGAGGGCTCCGAGTGCCGCCTTTGGCACCCGTGCCATAGGTTCTCCACCACTGCCCTAGGTGATCTGAAGCAAGCTGATCGAGGCCAAGGCAATAGTACAATTTTTTTTTTACCGTAGCAAATTAAGCCCATTCTCCAATTTTGCACCATTCGAACTTGTTCAACCCAAATTTTTAAGATTGGCCCTTTGAGTCCCAAAATGTGTCTCTAATGCCATTCTGAGACTAGACTAGACTAGACTAGACTAGAATAACTTTATTGTCACTTTAAATGTACACTAATCAGCATACATTAAAATGAAATTTCGTTGCACAAAGCTCTCAAAGGATCACCACCTCCAATATACACTACATAAATATGACAAAAATAAATACAGAATTATTCATATGTCCACATATATTATATGACACAGAGAAACAACACAGTCTAGTTCGGATTATGTATACAGTATATGTGCATGGCGAGAAAAACGAATTTTGTGAGTTTACCAGATGGATGGCATAGGAACAAAGCACATAGCACTTATAAGCAGCATCCTGAATACCAGGAAGCGAGCTTCCTATGATCTTCTCAGTTGTCCTGTTGTTGTTGTTGTTGTTGTTAGTTGCGAAGTTGTGTCCGACCCATCGCGACCCCATGGACAATGTTCCTCCAGGTCTCCCCAGGTCCTCCTCAGTTGTCCTTACCACTCTCTATATGGACTTTTTATCTGAGGCACTGCTGCCACCAAACCAGACAGTGATGCAGTTTGTTAAAATGCTCTCAATTGTACCTCTATAAAAAGTGGTCAGGAGAGAAAGAGAAAGATGTGCTCTTCTCATCTGATGCAGGAAATGCAGATGCTGGTTTGCACGCTTCGCTAAGAATGATGTGTGGAGAGACCAATTCAGATTGTTAGTTATCTGCAGCCCCAGATACTTAATACTGTTGACCGCCTCTATAGCTGCATCCTTGATACTGAGTGGAGTATGACTATGTCGGCTCGTTGTAAAATCTAAAATGATCTCCTTTGTTTTATCAGCATTTAGAACCAGGTTACTTTTATTGCACCAGTCCACCAGAGCCTTCACCTCTTCCCTATAAGCAACTTCATTGTCATCCCGAATAAGACCCACCACTGCCGTGTTGTCTGCATACTTCACAATATAATTCGTAGCAGATTGAGCACAGCAATCATGGGTCATCAAGGTGAACAGTAGCGGACTCAGGACACAGCCCTGTGGGGAACCTATACTCAAGGAGATGGAAACTTGCACAAACTGGGCCTATCAATAAGGAAATCAAGTATCCAACTACATAAAGGAGTATTAAAACCTAATAGGCCGAGTTTGTTCACCAGATGCTGAGGAATGTTTGTGTTGAATGCTGAACTAAAATCAACAAACAGCATTCGTACATGAGTATTCTTTCCTTCCAGGTGCGCCAAGCTAAGATGAAGCACATAGGAAAGTGCATCTTCTACAGAGTGGTTCTTCCGATAGGCAAACTGTAATGAGTCACATGTAGGGGGAAGGAATGAAACCATATAGTCTTTTACCAATCTCTCAAAACACTTCATCATAATGGAAGTGTTATGGATCCAATGATTACTGGACGGTAATCATTAAAGCATGTGATTATAGTTTTTGGGGGCACTGGTACAATGATTGCAGTCCTAAAACATGATGGAACCACAGCCTGATGCAACGAGAGATTGAAGATGTCTGTAAGAACAGTGGCCAGAGACAGGCCTCATGAAAATGAAGGGCAGAATGTGGGTGACCATACTAAACTATTGGCTCAAATTACTCTTTCCCCCCCCTGGCCTTGCCATATTTTAACTATGAGGAATTATTTTCATTTTACATGGAAAAAGGCAGTAGCAATTAAAAATCTTGTCCTTGGGCTTCTCTTCAGGTCTTCTACTCAGCATGGCACAGATTTAGCCAAAACACAGATTAAACTGCTTGTAGCAGACACAAAGTGCTAACTGAATCTAGCCAGGCCCTCAACCTTTATTGTCAATGAATCCAACAGGTATTCTGACATCCCAATGGCATACTTAACTAATCTCCAAGTATCTAACTACTAGATTCTGCCTGTATTATAGAAATGTTTGTATTAGCCTCATCTCACCATTACTGCATAGATACCCAAGGTGTACAGGACAATTCTGCACCTCCCTGCAGTTTGCAGATACTAATCCAGCTACAACATATAATGTTACCAGATTCTGCCCAGCAGCACTTAAAATCCATCAGACGGTGACTGGTGCCATAAACTGAGCATTTGGTTCATTGTTCAAGAGTATTCT